CGGAGCGGCCGCGCCGTAGCCAATGGGAGCGCGGCGGCCGCGGTACCAGCCAATAGGAGCGCGGCGGCCGCGGCCGGCAGCCAATCGGCGCGGTCCAAGTGGAGCCGAGCCGAGGGGTTCGGCCCGGCGGTACCGGCTGTACCGGCGCGGGGAGGTCCGACCGCAGCCGCGGCTCCTCGGCCAGCGCCGGCCCGGCCCCCGAGCTTCGCACAGCGAGCACAGGGCCGCACGGGGCCCTGAGGGAGAGCAAGATCGTGCAGGGATAGAGTCGGATCCGTGAGCTCTGCTCTGATAGGTGGTTTCACTTTCCATCAAACAGCAACAGGCTTTTTTTTTTTTTTTTCACCTTGTTTTTCCCCTTCACTAAATCATTTTGCAAGGAAGGCATCTTCCCAGGGCCTTGTGCGCTCCCCACCGGGGACACTGGCTGCTCGGCAGGCCCAGGAGGGAGCCTCCAGCCACCTGTGCACACAGATGTTGTGCAGTGCCTGAGCAGGGCGGGCAGAGCGCTGTGTAGGTGGGGAGCTGTGGTGCAACCTCAACCTGTTCGCTAGAACAAAAAGATTTTGCAAGATCTTCTCCTGCAGGGAGGGGAAGATCCCTCAAGGGGTGACAGAGTTCATTGCCAGGCTAATTGGAAAAGGCATCATTTGTGCAGAGCAAGGTTGAAGTGAAGAGAAATCAATTGAAGTGTGAATTCTCCATTTCCTAAACCTGTACCACACCTCCAGCATCTCCGCTGCCTCCCTGTGCCTCCTATCATAGCCAAGAGTGCAGCGCTCATGCTGGGACACTTCAGCATGACAGTACACTTGGCCTCTGTCCTCTTCATGTCCCACTAGAAAATGGGAGGCATGATGCCAGTAAGATTTACAATAAGCAAATCTTATAATTAAAGGCATTATCAGATCTCCCAAACCTACCAAGTACTATCTTTATCATGTGGTGCAGGAATACAGACACCCTAAGCTCAGTCCTTCCTCCACACACCAGTGAGTCATTTCTGAAAGGCCATAATTATATAAAATTTCCATTCTCCTCTGCATCTCCCCATTGCACAGGCAAAAAAGGACAAGCAAAAGCAACGTTTGGTGACTTGTAGATTGCTCAGATCTGAAATTACCAAGTTTTGTCTTTTCTTTTCCTCTTTTTCTTCTTGTTTTAGGTTATTCCAAAGCATAAGTTTGTCCTTGTGAAGTTTGACACACAATATCCCTATGGTGAGAAACAAGATGAGTTTAAAAAGCTGGCAGAGAGCTCAGGCTCCAGTGAGGATCTGCTGGTGGCTGAAGTGGGAATATCAGGTGAGGAACTCTGAGAACATGCAAACAGCGTGGGCTGGTGAGGAGGGGATACATTTCAGTGTGATTTCTGCAGGATCTGAAGCAATTCTGGGAGTGAGGAATGGATGTGAGAGTGGAGCTCCTGCCCTGCTGAGCCTGGCTGTGTGTGGGAGAGCTGCTTATCCATCTGGGCTGGATAATGAGGAGTCAGCCCACGCTGCTGAACTGCTGCCACCTCCTCATCCCCAGCAATTCTTGCCTTTTGTTTTTTCCCCCCTTCTTTGCTGAGAGAAACCTTTTTGTCCCACGTGCAGGGAACAGACCTTACTAGGATCACGCTTTAGCCACAATCCTGGTCAGACAAAGAATATTTAACGTGATTAATTCCATGCAGCAAACCGTGGGGCAGCACAACAAGGGGTTGTTGCACTGTGGCTGCTCTTAACTCGATGTGATTGTGACTGGATTTAAGAGAAAAAGAGTGAAGAATAGATCACTGGCACCTGATGTGCCCTGGCTTTGTAGGTTGAATTAAGCATTTAGGCTTAATTATCAAACTGGGAAGTTTTACCCACTCTGATATTTCTAAACATATGTGGAATACTCTTAAGTAACATAATTGAAATGTCTTTGTTTTCTGTCCCCAAGAATAAATATAATTTATGTAAGATGAGTAAAGATCTTGTAGCTTGGCATGCTGTCAGAACTAAATCATTTACTGCACACAGACAGGAAACACTTACTTAACTGTAAAATCAGATGAAATCAATGGATAGAGGAAAATAAGAGGAAAAAGGGTATTGACTTCCCTTAAGGAGGATGGGGTTTATACAAAAGGTCCTGCCAATGTCTTACACTCTCACAGTCACAGCAAAACAACCATTACAGTCTTTTTCTTTGGAAAACCCACTGAATGTTTGCCTTGCACAAATGATTTATGAGGTGTTTTTATTTCAGTGTGTGGCATTTCCTTGGTACAGGCTGCCCAGAGAATGGTCAGGGCCTCAAGGCTGCCAGAGCTCAGGGAATATTTGGGCAGTGCTGTCAGGCACAGGGTGGGATTTTGAAGTGTCCTGAGCAGGGCTGGAAGTTGGACTCAGCGATCCTTGTGGATCCCTTCCAGCTCTGGATATTTCCATGGCTCTGTGATTTCCTGGCAGACAGGTTATCAGGATATGTTGAAGCACTGGCTACAAATATTTGTGTAGGAGGGAATCCTAAATGAATTTTTGATTAACTGTGCTTTTCTGTGTTCCTTTTTCCCTCATCAGATTACGGTGATAAACTGAACACTGAGCTAGGAGAAAAGTACAAGCTGGACAAGGAAAAGTTCCCTGTTTTTTACTTGTTCCAGGATGGTGACTTTAACAATCCCTTACTTTATGGTGGTGAAATCAAAGCTGGAGCTATTCAGCGCTGGCTGAAGAGTAATGGCATCTACCTGGGGATGCCAGGCTGCCTGAAGGAGTATGATGTGCTGGCCAGCAAATTTGTGAGCACCACAGAGAAATCTGATCGCCAGGCCCTCCTGAAAAAGGGGCAGGAGAATTTAGGAAAAGCAAAAGAAACTGAGAAGAAGTCAGCAGAGCAATACTTGAAAATTATGAGCAAGATCCTGGAGCAGGGAGAGGAGTTTGCTGCTAACGAAGTCGTCCGAATCACAAAGCTGATCGAGAAGAACAAGATGAGTGATGGAAAGAAGGAGGAGCTCCAGAAAAGCCTCAACATCCTCGCTTCTTTCCTGAAGAAGAATAGTGAAAAAGATGAGCTCTAATGTGTTGGAGAACTCTACAAGCTGTGAAACATTGTCAAGAGTCCTAACCAGTTCTCCTTAATGCAAGCAAAATTCCCGCTGACTTCAAGAGGGCAGCAGATTTCCTTCTGGGATTCTCAGTTTAGAAGATCAAGAGGAAGACATTGCTTGAAAACACAGTATTGTAAATGTTGGAAAAATCACCTAAGAGCAAGACACCTGTATTGTGTAATACTATCCAATAACAGTGTTAAAGCAACAAAAAAAAAAAAAGCTCTAGATTGGCCAGAAGCTCCATTCCTGGTGGTTTTTACAGCTGTTCCTTGGCTAACAAATAACAAAATTCAGTCTCTCATTTCATCTTACATTCTGGAAGAGGTATAGATTGGGTGCCCTCTACATCCCCACATTTCCCTGTCCATAATATCCTTGGGTTTTACACTTGTTAATCTACCCTCACACGCCTTGTGTTGTCCCACTTGGGCTCTAAGTCTTGTTCTTACCTGTTGTTGACTAAGAGACTCAGAACTTCCTTTTTCTGCCTTCTCCTTCCATGGCTTCTGTCCCTGTTTGCTTTGGCTATCAGCCAAATGCTGGCAGTGAAGACAGTTCACAGCTTGCCCCTCATTTTCTGTCCAGAGCAGCAGTTTCATCAGATATTCTCCCGAAATCCTTTGTGGTACCCTGACACAGTGAGTGAAGTGAGTTCTGAGCAAGGGCAGAGTCTCCTTGAGGTGCTATTACACTCAGTCTCACCAGTTTGTTCAAAAAAAATCGGGTTTTCAGAGGTAAATTCGGATGAGTTTTCTTACAGCTGAAGAGTTGTTTTACCTGTCCAAGCTGCATGAACAAAATGTTTTTCTAGCCTCCAGAAGCAATTGACACTGTCAAACTAAAGCCTCATCACTGTTTGGTAGTTCTATATATTTGAAAATGAGGTCTTGTAAGAGGAAGCAGAAGTATTTGTGTCCTTAGAAGCTTCATTGTGTTACTTAAAAGGAGATGTCTGGCCCAAGGATCAGGTCACTCCTCAAAACTGTGCAGTTCACACTGTGGAATTCGGATGCCTCTGGAAGATGCTGAAGCCCCGGTCAGGGTAAGAGTTGAAAGAGAAAGACCTGGAATTTTTACCTTAAAAGTATGCTTTAAACAAAACTGATTCCTGTGGGAGCTTTGCTGCCTTTTGAATCTTGGGGCGGGTACAAGGAGCAGATGTTGCTGCGAGATAAAATGTATTAATAATGCTATAATAAAAAAAAAAATCCATTTCTGAGCTGCTTCTTAAACCACTTACTAGAGAAACTACGGCGGATTCCATGATCAGAGGGGAGGTCATGAGTGCTCTGG